TGTTTTACATATTTTGGACGAAAGGTAATTCTGCTCAATCTATTAAAAACTATACCGTATTTTCACAATATCACTTTCCATCGAGTAAAAATTGGTAACCTTAGATCTTTTTGTAACCCCGTTTATACCGGTTTTTTGTTTACGAGGGATTGAGGGCTGAGGCAACCACCGAGATATAGCGAGGGGCTTTTGATCCAGTTAACACCAACCTCTCTTACAAGTGAATCCGTGGCAGTCTGTACAATTTACGTCATTCCAAGTAAACTCATTAAAGAAACCAAGAGTGTGAACACAGTCTTGGTTGTGCAAATTGTTTGGTTGTCCTTCTGCCCAGTAATGGAAGTCTAAAGGGGTCTCATCGCTCCAGACGAACGAACCCTCGGTGAAATTATCAGACAGACCCAGCCACGATTGTGTACTGCCGTGTAGACTTTGAACAAATACGTTTTCTTCTTGGCTGTGTATGCTGGGAAGATTTGCGTCCAGGGAAGCACATGTCTCCTGACTATTTTCCCACGAGTCACAAGACAAGACTTTTCTATAGCAATACCCATTGTAATAGGTCCAATTGTCCTGACATATGTCTTCTAAAATTAAGTGAACAAAATAAGATGAACATTATTACTGTACCGATTTAATTGAAGGCTGCCTCTGTTTTTCTTTCATATATCCACACGCAATCAAAAATTTGGTTTAAAAGACTTTGCCAATAAAATGAATTACATTTTCATGTTTTAAGGAGTGCAGCTATCGTCGACAGACTTTTACAAGCCACCGACTTGAAATTTGATGCTGAGCTTCTGAGCGAAAATCGCGCTAGCGGAGGTATCACAGCTAACTCTTTTTTTAGATGAATTAAACCATTTAAACAGGAAAAAGTGCTAGTTACGAGATGGAAATACGTTTAAATTGCTTACTATAGGAACAATCCGTTCGTTGGTGACGCGGTGTAATAACTAGCAGATTTGTTATCCTATGTGCTCGTTATATCATCACCTTAACTAAACATCTCTGCTCCCTGATAAATTTGAATGAAAGTCAGAAAGGACGACTAGGTCGAGGTCAGCTTTCAGACTTGAGCTTATCTATGAAAGTTACACAAGCTTAACAAGGATCGAACTATTTTTATCGCTTTTCAAACAAGAAATATCATAAAAAGCACAAAATAAAGGACAACCTCGTAGTTAAATGAATAAAGGGGATAAGTTTCTAGAGAAACTGTGGTGCTGCGTCTGTGGGAGAGTATAGCAGGTAATTTAGCGTTAACAACTGAGTTGAAAGCGTAAATTGACCACTGTAAAGGGGGAACAAAGCTGACGTTTGGAACGTTAGCCCTTCGTCAGAGCGATCGAAATCAAACGCTCTGACGAAGGGCTAACGCTCCAAACGTCAGTTTTCTTCGCCCTTTACGGTGGCCAATTTACGTTTTCAACTCAGTTGTTAAAACTAAATTACTTGTAGTTAAACATGCGCTAATTTAAGTCCAAATCAATTTAACAGCAAAAAGGCGAGGGCGTTCCCTCCCAGAAAACAATGAAAACAGATGTCATAAAGCTTCCTATGAAACTTTAATTATTTGAACATGAGAGCAAAGTTATATTTATTATTTTACAAAATTTGCCGAAACTCCATTACCTGGTAACACTGCGTACGATACGGTAAGAGGATCAAAGCGTTGAATGAAAAGTTCTTTGACACACATTCTAAAACTTGTGTTGGTAATAAACTGCAAAGAAAAAACTTAAAATCAAAATAATAATAATAAACGTAAGGTAATAGAGAAATCTGCTGTAGAAATTCTTCAATCTTTATGAAATGGCCATAGCCATACCTCTACCCAACTTTCGATTCCATTGCATTCTGCAGCGGCAGAGTCTTGTCC